GGAACACCAGCCCCCCCCCGTGAACCCTAACAATCCCCCCACCCCGCTCCCTGCCCCCGGAACACAGCCCCCCCGGGCACCCTAACAATCCCCCACCCCGCTCCCTGCCCCCGGGACACAGCCCCCCCCCGTGCACCCTAACAACCCTTTCCCTCGCTCCCTGCCCCCAGAACACAGCCCCCCCCGTGCACCCTAATAATCCCCCACCCCGCTCCCTGCCCCCAGAACTCCCTCGTACACCCCCCAAGGCAGGGGTTCCCCCTCCCGTCCCAGGGTCCACCAGGCCCCAGCCCCGCGTCCTCCCCCAGCCCCTACGCTCCGCACCGGGCCCCCAACCCCGCCAGCCCTCCCGCACCTTCATCTCCCGCTCGGGGACCACATCCATATCGTCCCCCATGGCTCCGGCTCAGCCCCGGCGCCAACCGCTCGGCTCCTCTTCCCCGCCAGCGGGCTGCGCAGGGACCTGAACAGACGTTTCCGCTTCCGGCGGCCATCAGGCCTAAAGAGCCGCTCTAGCCGCAGCGCTCTATGGTAGCGCCTCTGGTGCAGGGAGAAAGAAGCGTAGAAAGAGATTAAGATTAGGGGAGGGGCCTAATGCCAGGGGGCGGGAACTTTGACTGAGAAGGGGCGTGGCTAAAGGGGAGGGGGCGTGTCAGCTCTTGGGGGCAGCGACTACGGTTTGTACAGCGCCTAGCAGATTGGGGGCTTGCTGCATTACTGGGGCTCCTAGGAGCAACACTGACTAATTCAAACCTGACCCTGTGTGACAAGGGAGATCAGATAGCACTTGTGAAAAATCACAACACTTATTTTTCAGGGGTGGTGTATAGTTGCCTATAGAAGACAATACCTCCAATATGGGGAGTCACATCTGGTCACCCTACCGTGGATCTAGCCAGCCTGGGAGGAGGCTGCAGCGTAACTCACAGGCTAACATTTCCCTTACCTGATCGGTCACATTACTGTCACTCCACTGCAGTAAATCACCAGCCTCAACCTTAGGAGAAAGTAGTTATTCCAGTGTTGCCCCCTCTCCTGATATTGGGTGTTTTAGATAAAGCCCTAGCTCCTGAAGTCACTTTATTACGTAAGACTGGCATGTTCTTTTAAAGAACAACAAGCAAATGTCCAACCCTCATGCCGTTTGGGATGGGGGGGGGGGGTGTATGAGGCCTAAATGTAGCCTAAAGGCTCAGATGCCAGGCGGCTAGAAACCCCAAAGATGTATGTTGTAAGAAATTCATAATCTTTAAGCCACTCATGAGGTTGAAGGCTTGGCAATACTATATGCAATAATCAGTACACAGACAGCATACATAAGAGCTGCGAATGATGCTGCCAGGGTGTTATATCTGAGCATAATTACCATAACAGTTTAGCACTTTGCATGGGGGGGGGGGAGGAATAGATCCACTTCCTGCATTTCAAAACTGATTGTACTGACCCACGGTAAAGGAGTTCTACATTCCTTGTACGAACAGTCTCCAAGTGAAACATGAGTGCAGCATAAATCCCATTTTAAAACATCAGTCTCAAATTATGGAGAAGCTAGTTAATGTGGCTTTATGGTTAGAGCTGAATTCTTAATTCCATTTCTTCCCCTGCAGCATGTAACGCCCTCTGACTGCATTAGCAATTACTATTATTTGGCAGTGGGATTATCAGACCCTTTAAACTAAACTAAAAGTCTTGTCCCCCTGCTATAGTGTCAGACTAGATCAGGGGTGGGCAAACTTATTGGCCCGAGGCCCACAGTGGGGTTCTGCAACTGTATGGAGGGCCGGGTAGGGAAGGCTGTGACTCCCCAAACAGCCTGGACCCCGCCCCCATCCACCCCCTCCCACTTCCTACCCCCCCCCACCCTCCACCCTATCCAACCACCCCTCCCTGTCCTTTGACTGCCCCCCAGGACTCCCTGCCCCTTATCCGACCCCCCCCCACCCCCTTACCTTGCTGCTCAGAGCAGCAGGAGCTTACAGCCTGGCTGGAGCCAGCCATTCCAACGTGCTACCCAGCAGGAGCAGTGGGGCAGAGCACTGGTGGCATGGCGAGCTGAGGCTATAGGGGAGGGAGACAGCAGGGGAGGGGCCAGGGGCTAGGCTCCCTGGCCGGAAGCTCAGGGGCTGGGCAGAGCAGTCCTGCAGGCCAGATATGGCCCACGGGCCATAGTTTGCCCATCTCTGAACTAGATAGACTAGAGGCATACACATAACAATAGCATTACTCCAGCAATCTATAGGAGACACCTGCCATTAGATCTCTGGGAAAAAGCTTAGGCTCCTTTTTCCACAGCTGAGGCCAATTTCACCACAGTTAGAAGCAGATACAACTCCATTAGCGTTGCCTTCAGTGGAGTTACATCCTCCTACACCCAAGTATCTAATTATAAAAAAAAGTTAAGCCTCCAGCCACCTACTGTCCACACAGTGATGGGAGAGAATTCCTTCCTGAGCACAGATGAGCCTTATTCTACTCCAAATCAGGAAACCCATGCCTTCTACTGTCACCCAACACTAGAACAACATATCAAGGAGATTTTATCTATATTTGGTTCCCTTGTTTTGCTGAGGGGAACTGGAAAAGCAGTTTAGAGAGTGTTCAGGTGCAGTTGTAAGGTAGTACAAGTGCATGTGTTTATATCACTCTAATGGGCATTTTAGAGCATACAAAACACTTTCAACTACTACTACTTAAAATATTTTCTCTCTAGATCAAGTGGTAAAACCCTGTTTTGGTCAGGGGGAGCTGAAGGACAAAAGGTTCTAGTCACAACTCCACAGCTTTATGCAAGGATTAAATGGAATACTGTATTATCTGAAGCATGTAAGAATGTCACAACGTCTTCCAAGTGTAAACCTTCCCCCCTTTTAAAATGAACAATACATTCTTAACTTGCACGGGCCCCAGTGAGGCATATACATTCTTTAGAGAGGCCGTTGGCAAGGCCTCATCCCTGCTTCCGACTATGCTGGGGCAAAAGGGCATCACACAGCCCTCCCTGATGATTGAAAGGAAATCCACCTGCCATCTCCTGGAACCACGAAGCTTGGTCCCTGCTTGGATGATTGATTATCTTTGGAGACCCAGATGGTTTAGCCAATCCATTGTAAAAGCGAGGGTGGAGAAGATCGGTCAGAAGAGTCTTGCTGTTCCTGCCAGACAGGTGTGCATGTCAAACAGTGACCCTGAAGCAAGCGAGCAGCCAGGAGGCAGCCTGAGAAGTATTTCATGAATGTTTGATATAAGAAAAACAAAACTTCCCTTGCAGTGTTTAACTCAAACATTGAAGCATTTGATCAGTTACTGACTTAAATGGTTTGCACCCATCTTATACTGATGTAATTGAAGTGCCTATTCAGGGATTTGCACCCTTTTAACTAAATTGATTTAAAAATGAAGTTTTAGTGTATCAGGAACAACTTGAGTTTAGACAAGGCTCTGGAGTAGCAACATTAAATACACTGATACTTCACAGAGTTTCAGAAGATTTATTTTCGGTCTGTACAAGTAGAGCTGTGCTGCCCTTATCTACAACGTCTCTCTCCATTGCAGTTCTGAGTTCTCAGACAAACAAGAATAGCAAGACATTTTTTTAAAAGGGCAGCCTTTGGCAGGCGCAATAAGACAAGTTAGAATTCCAAACAATAAATTGGATATCTGTTTTTATTTAAGCCATGATTTAAAAAACACCACAAAGTTAAAAGCTGCCAAGGACAAAGGAAAAAAAGCCAGAGGGGGAGGGAAGAAACACAATAAGCAATGAAACCCCAGGGGCAAACAACTGGGTTCCAAGCGTTGTAAATACAGAGTACACCGCAATGCACAGTTCAATGTCCAGAGCACAGTCCTGCTAGATCTAAGTTCTGGTATGCAGGGGAGTCTTTCCCCACCCCCAAAAGCTCCCTGTTCCCATAAAAAAAAAAGCACCTTTCATGTGCTTAATTTTAATCGCAGAGTAGTCCCATTGAAGTCAACTGACTCTGTATGAGAATAAATTCAAGCACATAGGAAGGAGTATGTTTGCAGGAGAAAGGTCTAATCTGGGAGG